ATAAATAATCACTACTGAAAATTCTGAAATTTCCGACCACCTGAAAATGATTTTAAATTAAGTTGATACCAAAAAGTCCAAAAAGTGGTCAGAAATAGCAACAAAGATTTTTCGGATACCAAAAGTGGTCGGAACAAGACTTTCAACTTGATTTAAGATCACTTTCAGGTGGTTGGAAATTTCAGAATTTCCAGTAGTGAATGTACCTTCAGTACACAAATAATGTACAATAAGTATATTAAAAATGTACATTTTATTCATAGTCTATGGAATAATGATTGTTCATTATGTTGGGCAGTGTCCAATATCCTGCCATCGAAACGTGACGCTGACTGCCTTGTGCTTTTGGCATAGTGGTAAATGCTTGATCCTACAAGCAATTGAAGAAATCTAGCCTAACTTGGCAACTTCTATTCCCAACCTTTAGTACGCTAAAAGCTATAGCCAGTAGCGAAGACGTAGCTTTATTTCTTTATACTTGCATAGCAATCAACACCATAATCTGATGGGAGGCTGCTAAACTCGGTTCTCCGAGTCGCAGTCCAACACTTGCCTATTGGGTGAAGCTTTAAGATAGCTCATAAGAGCGAGGATTCATGGTTGGACATTGTTGAGTTTTTATGACCATGATATCAATATTAAACAAAGTTTCAACTGAATTAATTAATTATAGGACTGATTTGGAAGGAAAAATCTATTAATACTAGTTCATTCAAAAAGACGTATAAACTCGATATAAAACTGTTTCCATTTGAAACACATCATATGTAATTCGACTATAGATCGATTTAATATGAGGTTCAAACCGCTACTTTCTCCACACCTATCATGGGTTAAACATGTTTTGTTCACGAAATGAATTTTAAGGGAATAAAAATAGTATTCTATAAGGAGTGGAATAAGCAAGGAATAGAATATGAATTGTATTCTTTTGTTTGATTCATTGATGGAATAGAGTTTAGGAATATTATTTTCAGTCTTTGGTTGGTTGGAATATGTGTTTAAAAGACATAAATACCCTATACGAAAGTACCTTACCTTATATCCTGTATCGCTAATTTTACTTAGTATACAAGCGCATATATATATATATATATATATATATATATATATATATATATATATATATATATATATATATATATATATATATATATATATATATATATGGTAGGGTTCCAGTGAGAACATGTGCTTAGGTGAGAACACATCATGTCCATCCATCTAATATTTTTTAATGGTCTAGATTATATTAAGTTCGTGCGAACGCGCATTAAATGTGTGCAAACACACAAAATCACGTTTGCACACATTTAATGCGCGTTTGCACACACTTAATCTAATCTAGACCATTAAAAAAATATTAAATGGATGCACATGATGTGTTCTCACGTTCTCACCTAAGAACATGTTCTCATATGATTTTAAATATATATATATATATATATATATATATATATATATATATATATATATTAACAATAATGTTAGGTGCAAGGTCATAACTTTTATATTTTGAGCAGATCTTTGGCTTCATGGGCTACTTAGATTTTATAGTAGAGATTAGAGAAGATGTAATATATCAAAATAGTTAATGATATTGATCACATCTAGTCAAATCGACACAATGGACAATCATAGTGAATTAATTATTAAATATGGGCAAATTTTCGTGTAATATGAATTATGAATAAATGGTACATTTTTAATATATGTACTAAAAATATATTATTTATGTACTAAACGTATATTATTTGATAGTTACTACTGGAAATTCTGAAATTTCCGACCACCTGAAAGTGATCTTAAATCAAGTTGAAAGCCTTGTTTTCGACCACTTTTGGTATCCGGAAAAACCTTTGCTGCTATTTCCGACCACTTTTTACTTTCAACTTGATTTAAGATCACTTTCAGGTGGTTGAAAATTTCATAATTTCCAGTAGTATGATATAGTATACAAAATGATATTCTTTCCGTACTCAAATGATATACTTTTAAATAGTGTAAGAATTTTCATATTTTTTTAATATAAAAGATAAAAAATAAATCTATCAACAAATATAAACGGCATTATGTCACTAATATATGAATTCAATTTTACCATAGGACATGTCTATCGGGAAGCCAACCAGGTAGCAGATGCTTTAGCGACAGCGGGTTTGAGTTTTTCATCTTCTAGAATTTTTTATGACGCTAGCTCTTTGCCCGAAAAGGCCAGGTTAGCAGTTTTGTAGGATCAAAGGGGCTTTGCCTCTCATCGGGCTGTTCGCCGGCAATAAAGTCTGTTCTCGTTTAAAAAAAAAAAAAGAATTCAATTTTACCAATAATACTAAATACATACATACAAGAGTAAATATTTTGATCTACATAATACCATATGAACACATCACACACCACTGCTGGAAATTATGGAATTTCCGACCACTTGAAAGTGATCTTAAATCAAGTCGAAAGCCTTGTTTCGACCACTTTTGGTATCCAGAAAAACCTTTGTTGCTATTTTCGACCACTTTTTGTTTTCGACTTGATTTAAGATCACTTTCAGGTGGTCAGAAATTCCATAATTTCCAGCACTGCACATATGCAAGAGTTAATCTTCTAACTTTACAAGTGTATTAACAATCTGTTTACCGGGCCAATTGTTTAAAACAGCTAATAAGATAGAAATTTAGCACAATGATCTTAGAAGATCTGAGAGACGACTTAATTGTGTTGTGATCACAACTCGAGCCCTGTCCCTTTGAACTTTCGTTCAAGAATTTGATCAAGTCTGGTGGCCATTTCATCTGTTAGATGGTTCCGCCAATCTCCAACCTTACCTTTCCTGAAATACACATTATTTGGCCTATGATGAGAGTTCTTACCAGTCTTGTTAACCTCCAAGTTGCTCAAGCTTTCAAAATATCAGAATCTTGAGCCTGGAAGTGTTGCTGGGATCTGAGAGCACCGTACAAGAACTGAGAATCTAAACCAAAACCCTTTGTAGTTATACATATGAGGATAGAGCCAACCTTCCTCTCTGGGTAGTGAAATGATGGATTCTCTTAGCTCTTTAGGATAAGAACTTTCTTCAAAAAATTGCTGCACAAATGAGTTTGTGGGGTTGGGATCAGATGGCGCAGCCATGGCAATGTAATTGAAGCTATGAATGTTATTCTGATCTGTGATGTCTTACAATCCTATCTATCTAGAGTTGGCTCGCGACCTAGATCGTATGTTGGAATTGTTGTCCATGAGTGTCAGGTGATTATGGCACAGTTTCTTACTTGTCAGCTTCGTTTTATTCCTAGACGTCTAAATATTATTGCTCATACTCTAACTTCAATGGTCTCTGACCAGGATATTACTATGTTTTGGGACGATGTCCCTCCTGATGTTATTCTTTCACGTTTACAGTAATGAAATTTCGCAGCTTTGCTTTCAAAAAAAAAAAAAAAAAAAACAAAGTCGAAAATGTTAACCATTCCAATCCCCTTCTTCAATTTGAAAAATGATTTTATCTTCAAAGGCTTTGTAAAATGTATGCTATTTGACAATGGCTCGGATAATACTTAATGTTGATTTTTATTTTTTTGACAACCAACTCTATGATTTTATGATACTTGTTATCAATGTTTTTGCTGCGACCATGAAAGGCGAAATTCTTGGACAACAAAATTGCCAACTTGTTATTAAAGAAAACTGTCGTAGGTGCATCATTCTTGTATGTGTTGTAAAAACTGCAAAATTCTCCTCATTCAAGTAGCTTGAATAACACAGTTTGCTACTGCAATTTATTCTACTTTTACGGTTGAAAGTGATACAATATGCTACTTCTTTGAAGACAAAGAAAATATAGTAGATCCAAAATAGAAAGCATATCATAATGTGCTTTTTCTAGTCTTAACATCATAGGGTGTGCATTAGGTAAATCCTTCTTTGTGACTATAAAAAAAAATAAACTAGCTTAATTTATTTATAGTTGATCAACTTTGCAACTCAAATCAAGAAATCGAATAAGCTAATAGTTTTTTTTTTCTCCTTTTGTCATCTTTGAAAGAAAAAGTGACAGCAGATTGCACAAAATCTTGTTAAGATGGGGTGAGAATCAGCATGTTTGATTTGTCCCAATTTTTTTTATTCATGACCCATCCCACGTGATTCATCTATTGAGTGTAGTTTTCAGATAATGCCCCTCCCTTTTTAGTTGCGTTATTTAATTTCCTTATTTTGATTGACTATAGTTTATGAATGCACAACATTAAAGTAAATTTTTAGGGTTTTGTGCATGTCTATGTGGTACCATGAAGTGAAGTATATCCTCATAAAAGCTATAAAAAAAAAATGAATGTACCATACCTATTTAATTTTGCCGAAAAGTCATGCATCACGAATGCAAATTCTTGTTCTAACCTTATAGAATCATCGTCACTCCTATCATTTGACATGATAGGACCTATTCCATTAGTGTAATTGAAACTAATCGATCGTCTATATTTTTACATTTTTATCGCTAAGTTGTATAATTGGAGTGCTATTTAAAATGGAAATAAGTAAAATAGGATGTAAAGTATTGTTGGGCACAATGGACAATCATAATTGACTAATTATTATTAATAAATATAATAGCGAACGTGTAACTTTTTTTTTTTTTTTCTTATACTTGCGTAACAGTCAAGTTATTCTGCTCTTTGAGCTACTATCTAACAACAACACATAACTGTTAAAAATTTATTAATATAGGAATAACAATACTTTGATTTATACGTGACATTAAACTAAATTTGAACCTCACTTCTACTTAAGCACAACAAAAATGATTCTCAAATCAAATTAAAGCACTGATCATTATCAAAAATCATTATCAAATCAAATTAAAGCACGCACAATCACAAAATGATTCTCTAGGCACTGATCATCACATTATTACAATTCAAACCACAAGAAGAAAGCAGATTTTTTTTTATTGGCATATAACATTAGGTATTTCACGATTGTGTCACAAATATGGATTTGACTTTATCAACCGTTCTCAACACATACATACATATATATAAGAGTTGATCTTTTGAACTACATAATATGATATGAACACGAGTTAATACTTCCAATGGTCCTCCGAGTATTAAGGGTTTACCAGCTGTGGTCCTCCGAGTTTTAAATAACCTCCAATGGTCCTCCATGTTTTAAAAAATAACCACCCACAGTCCTTTTAGGACGTCTCGTAGTTATATTAAACTCGGGTTATTTTAAGAATTAGGACCACATGTGGTTATTTTTTAAAACAAAGAGGTCCATTGGAGGTCATTTAAAACTCGAAAGACCACAGCTGGTAAACTCCAAATACTCGGAGGACCATTAGAGGTATTAACTCATATGAATACATTACACACATACAATAGTGGATCTTATGAGCTTATAGTAATTAGGGAAATTTGAGCACAATGATCTTAGAAGATGAGAGAGACTTAATTGTGATGTGATCACATCTATCACAACTTAAGCCCTGTCCCATTGAACTTTTCTTCAACAATTTGATCAAGTCTACTGGCCATTTCATCTGTTAGATGGTTCCTCCAATCTCCAACCTTACCTTTCCTGAAATACACATTATTTGGCCTTTCATGAGAGTTCTTACCAGTCTTGTTAACCTCCAAGTTGCTCAAGCTTTCAAAGCTGCAAAGCCTCGAGATTCCACTTACTACACCACCCTCTTCTTCCTCCTCAGAAAATGGACACCCCAAGAAACCTGCAATTCGCCTCAGCTCAACCTCAGGCTCTTCCTTAATCTCCTCGTACTTCAAGAACAACACATTCCCAGGATTCTCCAAGCTCTCCTTCCAGTATCCCAACAAATGATCCCAGAAAGGCCCAAAGCTACTTGCCCCCCTGCAATATCTATCAAATGCCTCTGGAAACGGCATAGCTTCCATGCCTCGAAGCTCAACCCTCAGCTTATTCATGAAGTGCCAATACGACACGACGGTGTCCTTTTGGTTTCTGGACACACAAATGAGCTTGCATTTTGATTCCCATACCGATTTTGGCAACAACTCTAGTGGTAAATGCGTGGACAATACCCTAAACCCATTACCATTCATAGGGAAATCAGGGCTGTTTTCTCTTGAATAAGAAAACTCCATGTTTCGAATTAACTCCTGAGGACTTGCTGTGAGTAAAGGGTGGGTTTGATGTGATACTGGGAATTGTTTTCGAGTGCTCAAAGCAAATACCAGAGCTTTCAACCAAGTTGTGCCGCATTTAGGGAGGGTGCATAGTATAATATCAGAATGTTGAGCCTGGAAGTGTTGTTGGCATCTAAGAACACCGTGCAAGGAGTGAGCATCAAACCAAAACCCTTTGTAGTTATAGATATGAGGATATTGCCAACCTTCCTCTCTGGGTAGTGAAATGATGGATTCTCTTAGCTCTTTAGGATAAGAACTTTCTTCAAAAAATTGCTGCACAAATGAGTTTGAGGGGTTGGGATCAGATGGCGCAGCCATGGCAATGTAATTGAAGCTATGAATGTTATTCTGTGAGGTCTGTGAAACTTTTTTTTTTTCCTTGGGATATATATAGATCATATGAGTTGATTGAGTTAGGTCAGGATAATTAAATTAAATATGAAATATTGAATATATATCTTAAATTATAAGGTTCTAGTAAAATTGTATCTTTGATTCATGAATTATAATGTATTAAGATGTCATCATTACCCCAAACCAATACAATGGGCAATCATAATTAAGTAATTATATTAACAATGCTATTATAACATTGCCTCTCTTAAACAAAGTCGAAAATGTTAACCACTCCAATCGCCTTCTTCAATTTGAAAAATGATTTTATCTTCAAAGGCTTTGTAAAATGTATGCTATTTGACAATCGCTCGGATAATACTTAATGTTGATTTTTATTTTTTGGTAATCAACTCTATGATTTTATGATAATGTTATCAATGTTTTTGCTGCGACCATGAAAGCTGAAATTCTTGGACAACAAAATTGACAACTTGTTATTATAGAAAACTGCCGTAGGTGCATTTTTCTTGTGTTGTAAAATTAAAACTCCAAAATTCTCCTCATTCAAGTAGCTTGAATAACACAGTTTACTACTGCAATGTATTCGACTTCTACGGTTGAAAGTGCTACAATATGCTACTTCTTTGAAGACGAAGAAAATATAGTAGATCCAAAATAGAAAGCATATTCTAATATGCTTTTTCTAGTCTCAACATCATCCGTCAAGGGTGTGCACTAGGTAAATCTTTCTTTGTGACTATAAAAAAATAAACTAGCCTAATTTATTTATAATTGATCAACTCTGTAACTCAAATCAAGAAATCGAATAAGCTAATAGTTTTCTTTTTCTCCTTTTGTCATCTTTGAAAGAAAAAGTGACAGCAGATTGCACAAAATCTTGTTAAGATGGGTGAGAATCAGCATATTTGATTTGTCCCAATTTTTTTTATTCATGACCCATCCCACGTGGTTCATCTATTGAGTGTAGTTTTCAGATAATGCCCCTCCCTTTTTAGTTGCGTTATTTAATTTCCTTATTTTGATTGACTATAGTTTATGAATGCACAACATTAAAGTAAATTTTTAGGGTTTTGTGCATGTCTATGAGGTACCATGAAGTGAAGTATCCTCATAAAAGCTATAAAAAATGAATGTACCATTCCTATTTAATTTTGCCGAAAAGTCATGCATCACGAATGCAAATTCTTGTTCTAACCTTATAGAATCATCCTCACTCCTATCATTTCACATGATAAAACCTATTCCATTAGTGTAATTGAAACTAATTGTCTATATTTTTACATTTTTATCGCTAAGTTGTATAATTCGAGTGCTATTTAAAATGAAAAAAGTAAAATAGGATGTGAAGTATTATTAGGAGAAGATGAGTCCAATATTGCAAGTATAAAAAAATAAAGTTGTACATCCATTATTAAATATAACTTTTGATGTATTAATTAATAAGCATTGATTCTCACAAATATCATTAATTATTTCCTAGATGCTTAAAATTTCATAATTAGAATTTAACACCATACGTCATAAACATATTATCACTTTATGTTGGTCTTGAACAAGCTAAAAGTCTAGAAAATGGGGTGGGGTTGGAGGGGGAAGGATTGAATAGAATTTTAACACTTTTTCAAAATTGCTCTAAGCTTGAAATTAGAAAATCAAAGCTAGAAAACAAGTTTCCTTGCAACGGATGTCTTCAAGCTTGCCAAAAAATGATGTAGATAAGTTTGATATTTTAATATGTTAGTGTGCGTACAGTATGTGGTTAGTTACACTAAATAAATAAAAGCGAAAATGTAAAGAGATTTAGAGATTTTTATAATTATTCCTAAAATTTTCTTACTCCACTCTTTTCCTTAAACTTTAAGGAGGATTCCACGCACTTAGTATTTATTTACAAAAATACAAAGTGATTCGAAGTCTTCAACTTCTATCAAATGGCAATTCTTGAGACGATCAGGGGCCTTTATCGACTTGTCTTTCACTACTTGATCAAAGCTAGTCAAGGGTCAATCATGGAGTCGCTTTGCAAGGTTGATCTCTCAAGTTCCTTCAGCTTGAAATATGATTTTGGTTAAGCATTGGACTTCAAAGAATAAAACTGATTCTTTTTTAAGCTTAGAAGACTAGATTCAGCAAAGTTGCATTTTCACAAAAGCTTTGAGTACTAGATCACAAGAATTCATTTTTAACTAGCATCTTCTTCTAAGCTTGGAGTTCTCCTTTTATAGATGAAAAAGGGTGTGCACCAACTTTGAAATTTGAATTTGTCCGTCGTAACTCAGCAAGTGGTAACCGTCCAAAAGCTATCACAATTCCCTAAAATCTGTTCTCATATCTATGAACTTGTGTAGCTTGATATCCATAGGTTAATGATCATTTCCCTATCAGTGTAAAAGCACACTTTAGTCCAAAAAAACTTCCCTTACTTATCACCAATTTATCTTCCAATGACTTTTTTTTTTCTTCCTCATATGAGCTTCTTCCGAGGTTCCTTAATTAAAAAGGTCTCCATTAAAGTTCCAATGAAATTGGTTGCTCCCAATTAAAGGTATTAATCTAGACTACTCTTCCCGAAGCACAAAGAGTCAATGTCGCCTCCACAAAGGCTTGAACCCAAAATCTGCAACCTTGGTGTTGTTAGACCACAAGGTCTTGACAGATGAAGCCTATCTTAATTTACGAGAAATGAGGGGTTTCTAAAGTTTATACAATAAGATTACATCATCAAAGTTTTATTAAAAATTATTCCTAACACTTTATAATTAACGAATCAAAATTACAATTTTACTAACACCTAATAATTTAAGATACAAAATCAAAATTTAATTATCTTTATTCTTTACCTACAAAAGGTAAAATTTCTTGTCCTAATGACCCACACTTCAACACGACAAGATTATGGAGGGATATTATATTAACTTAATGGCTCAATAGATGAGAATGAAGATTAATGTCTGGTGCTCTCGTTGAGCCACTGCACGAGAGGATGAAAATTTAACTATACTCACTTAACCCAACTCATCAGATATTGATGGGGAAAATGTCTGTATGGGCCTTTCAGGGATCATGTGTTGGGATACTGGAAGGAGATCAGAGCTTGGAGAATATATCCTAGTAAGGTGTGGTTCTTGAAGTACGAGGAGATTAAGGAAGAGGGTGATGAATGTTCAGTTGAGGCAAATTGCAGCGTTCTTGGATGGTGTGTCCATTTTGGGAGGAAGAAGAAGAGTGTGGCGTAGTGGGTGGAATCTTGAGACTTTGCAGCATTGAAAGCTTGTGCAACTTGGTGGTTAACAAGACATATGTTGAATAAGGATAAAAGATCTATCTAATTATATTGCATGTCAATGAAGTATTTTTCGTGTGACCGAGAAGTAAATATATATACCTTCTAGTTATATATGAGAATCAACTTTTAATTTCGACCTAGTCCAGAAGTAAGTTTACTTTTAAATTACTTTTATTTTAAATTGTTAATTTTCCTTAGCACTTTTCGAACATAAACGAGAAGTGTCAGAAGTACTTCTCACCATGTGATCGAAAAGTAAACATACCTTCCGATTATAACTGAGAGTCTACTTTTCTACCTAGTTGGAGACTCAAATAATAAAATAAGGACAACTACCGATTAAGTGACGGTTGCAAATTAATTGAAGGACCAAAACAGTGATTTCCCTTAGAACAATTTATTATGACATGAATACCAATACTTTGATTTATATATACAAGACAAGTACACACTTGATCACATGGGAACCATTCAAACAACAACAAGAAGAATGAAAAAACAATATAATTTTTCCACTGGCATATAACATACACTAAGTATCAGAACTTGAGCCCTGTCCCTTTGAACTTTTCTTCAACAATTTGATCAAGTTTTCCGGCCATTTCATCTGTTAGATGGTTCCTCCAATCTCCAACCTTACCTTTCCTGAAATACACATTATTTGGCCTACCAAAAAATAAGCATTTACCAGTCTTGTTAACCTCCAAGTTGCTCAAGCTTTCAAAGCTGCAAAGTCTCAAGATTCCACCTACTACACCACACTCTTCTTCTTCCTCAGAAAATGGACACTCCAAGAACGCCGCCATTCGCCTCAATTGAACATCCGCCTCTTTCTTCATCTCCTCGTACTTCAACAACAACACCTTCCTAGGATTCTCCAAGCTCTCCTTCCAGTACCCCAACAAATGATCCCAGAAAGGCCCATACAGACTTTCTCCCCTGCAATATTTCTCAAACGCCTCTGGAAACGCCATTGCTCCCAGGCCTCGAACTTCACCCCTCAGCTCATTCATGAAGTGCCAAAACGACACAACAGTGTCCTTTTGGTTTCTGCACAGATAAATAAGCTTACATTTCGATTCCCCTACCGATTCTGGTAACAACGATAGTGGCAAATGCGTAGACATGCAATACCCTAAACCCATTATTCATAGGGAAATCTGGGCGGTTTTCTCTTGCATAAGAAAATTCCATGTTTCGAAATAAGTCCTGGGGACTTGTTGTGAGTAAAGGGTGGGTTTCTTGTGATACTGGGAACTGTTTTCGAGTGATCAAAGCAAATACGAGAGCTTTCAACCATGTCCCACACTTTATCCATTTTGTACATTTTATGGGGTGCTAAATTGAAAAATTAGAGTAACTAATGTGTCTTTGCTTATAGTTTTATTCATTTGCTCAATAAAGGAAAAATGAAGCATTTTGGAGCAAAATTGACCAAATTAGGAGCTAAGAAGTGCATGGGAAGAAAGCAAATAGCCATTCAGAAATAAAATAGCATTATCAAGAATAGTCCGACTATATTATTCAGCTATCATCTATAAATTTGCTTTGTACACAATCTAAGCATATATATAGTAAATAATTAACAATATTGGGTGAAAGGTCATAACTTATGTTTTGAGCAAATCTTTGGCTGATGGGTTACTTAGATTATATTTTGTTGTTGAGAAGATGTAACATATCAAATTTGGGCACTGTACAACATCCTGTCATCGAAACGTGACGTTGACTGCTCTGTGCTTTTGGCATAGCTAGTGGTAAACAATGCTTGATCCTACAACAAGCTTTTGGCATAGTGGTAAGTGCTTGGTCCTACCAGCAATGGAAGAAGATCTAGCCTAATTTGGCACGCAACTTCTATTCCCGACCTCCAATACGCTAAAAGCTATAGCTAGTAGTGAAAACGTAACTTTATTTCTTTATACTTGTGTAGCAATCAACACCACGATCTGATGTCTGGATGCTAAACTCGATTCTCCGAGTCACAGTCTAACACTTGCCTATTGGGTGAAGCTTTAAGATAGCTCATAAGAGCGAGGATTCATGGTTAATTGGACATTGTTGAGTTTTTATAACCATAATATAAATATTACACAAAGTTTCAACTGAATTAATTAATTATAGGACTGATTTGAAGGAAAAATCTATTATTACTAGTTCATTAAAAAAGACATATAAACTCGATATAAAACTGTTTCCATTTGAAACACATCATATGTAATCCGACTATAGATTTAATTTGAGGTTCAAATTAAACCACTACTTTCTCCACACCTATCATGGGTTAAATGATAACACTTGTTTTTCTACTATATTTTGTCCCATACTTTAATCCATTTTGTACATTTTATGGTGTGCTTAATTAAAAAATTAGACTAAGTAATGTGTCTTTGCTTATAGTTTTATTCATTTGCAAATAAAGGAAAAATGAAGCATTTTGGAGCAAAACTGACCAATTTAAGAGCTAGGAAGTGTATGGAAAGAAAGTAAATGACCATTCAAAAATAAAGTAACATTATCAAGAATAGACCAACTCCATTGTTCTGCTATCATCTATAATTTTGCTTAGTACACAAGCTAAGCATATATATAGTAAATAATTAACAATGTTGGGTGAAAGGTCCTAACTTATGTTATGAGCAAATCATTGGCTAATGGGCTACTTAGATTATATTTTGTAGTTGAGATAACATATCAAAATAGTTAATGATATATTGGTTACATCTACCCAAAAGCGACACACACTACTAGAAATTATGGAATTTCCGACCACCTGAAAATGATCCTAAATCAAGTCGAAAGCCTTGTTCCGACCACTTTTGGTATTCGGAAAAACCTTTGTTGCTATTTCTGACTACTTTTTGCTTTCGAATTGATTTAAAATTAATTTCAGGTGGTCAGAAATTTCATAATTTCCAGTAGTGATAATTGACTAATTATGCCCGCATGGGTAGCTCAAGGTTTGTTATATCATGCACCATGGTGCATGATCAATCATGCACCGCGCATCAGACACTATAGTGTGTCTAAACCGACACTGTCTCACGTATTATTTTTATATTATCAAATGAAACTACAGTTATATCAAAATGATACTGTAGTTGTGGTGAAATGAAACTACAGTATATATAAAATGAAACTGAATAACATTTCACATATTTGAGTGTATATTGTACAATGAAGCTGTAATTATATTGAAATGATCATGTAGTTGTGTTTTAATGAAATTATAGTGTATATAAAATAAAATTAAATTACATTTTCACATATTTGAGTGTATAAATATTGAATGAAACTGTAGTTGTGTTGAATTGAAACTGCAGTGTATACAAAATGAAACTGAAGAACAAAGTTATTTTTTGAGAAGATTCTGTTTCTTTGCATTAAATAAAACGACGTCATTTTGACAGTGTCAGTTTAGACACACTGTAGTGTCTGACGCACGGTGCATGATTGATCATGCACCATGGTGTATGATATAATTTGTCGCAGCTCAACTGGTCATAGAGGTGAAAGTTGGAAAGAATGACCAGAGATCAAGTCTTACCAGCCGAAGTGAGGGGGCTCCTTGTGCCCAGTAAGCAAAGGTCTCCGAGCTACCGTCTCACAACAACACATACATGTTACTAATATGGATTTGATTTTACTAACCATTCTCAACACATACATTTTACTAATATGGATTTGATTTTACTAACCATTCTCAACACATACATTTTTTCCCATTGACATATAACACTAGGTATTTCACCATTGTGTTACTAATAGTCAAAATAGATCAAAATAGTCAATGATATTGAATTGGTCACATGCATCTACATGAAATCGACACAATAGTCAATAGGCATCACAAATAATTAATAATAAAGCCAATAATGGATAGACATAACACAATTAATTTAAAGATATTGTGACACTCTGATCTCTACCTAAATCTCACATCAACAATAGGCAATAGCATATATCAATTGTTGGAGTTTTAAATATATACTAGTTTTTTACACGCATTACGCGATTGGGATAATGTCTAATTTTTTTTTTTAAATAAATACTTTAAAGTATATCAATGTAAGATTATATTGGAATTGTTCATGCATAGATAATTGAATATTGAATTTGCGTATTTAAATAGGTAATTCTAAGTTTACAAATGCAAGATAATATAGTCAAGAGCGAAAAGCAAAAAGTGGTCGGAAATAGCAACAAAGGTTTTTCCGGATACAAAAAATTGTCGGAACAAAATTTTCGACTTGATTAAGATCACTTTCAGGTGGTCGGAAATTCCATAATTTCCAGCAATGAACGTTAATTAATTTTTTTATAAATAAATTGGAGGGTGTTTTGGGGAAGGAAAAATCCTTCCCCAAAACGCCATCCCAACGTGCTGTTAGTGGCGTGTGGAACTTCAGCGGTTTGGAGCAAATTATTGAGTTACCAAATATGGTTTTTAGTGTTTTGACTAAAATGATGAATTTATCAAAATTTTAGTAAATCCACTATTAACCAAACCAGACCTAAGTTTATGATTTAGTGGCTAGCCTCCATCAAATTGATTTTTTTAATATATACGTTTTTGCATTATTTAACCATTGTTGTTGGGGTGGAGTGCTATTCAAAATGAAAAAAAAAAATAGAGAAATAGGGTGGGAAATATTATTAATATATTGTATCAAGTACAATCTTTGGTTAGCACCCCAATAATTGTCATGCACCCGCCAGGCCGCCAGCCTCAAATGCTTTTAGATACCAATGCTAGGATCATACGTTTATCATCGATCACTATGTTTAAAGTTAGTAGTACAGTGAAACACAATTTTAAGTTCATATACTTGCATAGCAGCCAGTTCACAATTATTTATTAATTATTAATTTTGTAGATTTTTGAGAGAGGTGGTAGATTAAACTACAATAAACAAGATATTAATCAAGTTAGAGACGTATGGATAAAGTAGAAAAGAGAGAAAAAGGAAAAAAGAAAAAAAAAATAATAATAACATGTTTTTTACACGCCCTAGGCACACTTGCATGGCTGGCTGCTAGGACTGTTAACGAACCGAACATAAACGAACGGAGGTTGTTCGTGTTCGTTTGTTAAGGAATTTGGAGTGTTCGTGTTCGTGTTCGTTTGTTAAGCGTTTGTTAGTGTTCGTTAACGTTCGCGAACACGTTCACGAACGTGTTCGTTAACGTTCGCGAACACGTTCACGAACGTGTTCGTTAACGTTCGCGAACACGTTCACGAACGTGTTCGTTAACGTTAACGAACACGTTCGCGAACGTGTTTGTTAACGTTCGTGAACACGTTCGCAAACGTGTTCGTTAACGTTAACAAACACGTTCACAAACATGTTCATTAACAAGCACGTTCATGAACATATTCATTTACGTTCATGAACACTTAATAAACAAACACCTGCACATGTTCATGATCACAATTCGTTCGTGAACAATAAATAATCTACGTTCACGAACAATAATCAAATAAACAAAACACAACTACAAAACTAATATAATATATAATATAATATAATATAATATAATATAATATAATATATATATGTTTGTGAACATGTTCGCGAACATTATTAAACGAACACAAACGAGCTTGTTCACGAACAATATTAAACAAACATAAACGAACTTGTTCACGAACATTAGTAAACGAACACAAACGAGCTTGTTCACGATCTCTTAGCAAACG